CCATCTTAGAAGAGCCTCCTCTGCTCCAACTTCTCCCTTAAGCCACCATGCTACTCTTTGCTTCCCTTTATAGCAAAATGCCTCTGAAGAGATGTCTATGCGCTCAGTATCTCTACTTCTATTCCACCATTCTAACTCTCATACTCTCTTTAATCAGGATCTCATCCTTATGTTCCACTAAAATAGCTCTTATCAAGGTCATCAGTGACCTTCTTGCTGCCAAGCCCAGTGGTCATGTCTCAGTTCTCATCTTATTCTACATGTGGGCCACGCACTCTGCTGGCTGGTAAGGCTGTTGCCAGGCTTTTTGCTTGGCTCCAGGACACCATTCTCTCTCTTGGGTCTCCTCCTACTTCACTGGGCACTCTTCTCAGTCTTCTTTTGTCTTCCTGTAAGTAATGAAGTGCCCAGGATCAGTCCCTGGACAATTTTTCTGGCTATATCCACTCCCTAGCTGAACTCATCTAGTTCTGTGATTTTAAATACCATTCACATACTGATGACTCTTGATGTTATACCTCTAACCCTCTACCTCTTCCTTGAACCCCAAATGCCTACTCTTCTTAGATATATAATATGCACATCAAACCTCAAACCTACATCAACTAAACACAACCAAAAAACTGCATTCCCTGTCCCTTCAGGCTTGCTCATCCCTTAGTCTCTACCCCCTCAGTAAATGGCAACTCCTTTCTTCCAGTGATTCAGACTTCAAAACGTGGATCATCTTTGACTCTCTTTCATACCACACACACCTGTCTATCAACAGATCCTGCCAGTATTACCTTTCAATTATATCTAGAGTCTGACCACTTTTCACCACCTCCATTGCTTCTGCCCTAGGTTAAGCTACCATATCTCACCCAGACTACTCTAAGAGCCTCTAATTGGTCTTCCCACTTCTATCCTTGCCTCTCTCCCCCCCTTTCTTCCCTAACCCTAACATCCAGAGTAATCTTTAAAACACTGTGATTAGATAGTGCTACACCTCTACTTTAACCTTCTAAGGCACGCTATCCCACTTTCTGAATAGTATCCAAAGTCTTTATCAGGGCCTACAAGCTCTGTAAGACCTGGCTCCTGCTACCCCTCTATCTCAGTGACCATCTCTCCCCCACTTGTCCACTCCAGTCTAGCTTCACTGGTTTCCCTGCTATTCTTTAAACATGCCAGGACCACTCCTGCCTCAGGGCCCTTGTTCTCTGTCCTCTAAGTCTTGTCACTCTTCCCTCAGGGACCTGCTTGCTAAGTTTTTTTACTTCATTCAGGCCTCTGTCCAAATTTCACATTGTCAAAAAGGTTTTCCTGGCTCTTCTTTCTAAAATAACCCTCTTCTGTCACTCTCTCCTTCCTTACCATGCTTTACTTTTCTTCTTAGCAATGATTGCAACTCAACATTTTTAACACTTATTTGCTTATCTGCTATTGATTGTTACTTCCATTAATATGTAAGTTCAGTAAGAACACTCTTTGTACATTTGTCATCACTGTATTCCAAGTTCCTAGAATAATGCCTGTTATAATAATAGACCCATCTAGGTCTCTTGTCATCAGGTGAGAAGAGTGGTTTCCGGGTAGTTTCCTAATTAATATGATCAAAATCAAGTCTGAGGAACTGGGAGAGATGTACATGGAGATCATTAGGTATTTACTTATTACCAGTGACCACCGTGGGATTCACAGATATTTTGTTTGTTCCTTGGTGCCAAATCATTTGCTGAACTCTGAGGTGGCATGAAACATCTGCCTTTAACTCCTTTGGCATGTCACTTCTCCTCTGGTACTCAGTGTGTCCATCTGTGAAATAAGCAGTTGGAGATGTGGTTTCTGTTCTGCTACTTCATGGTCTGCAAGGTGCCAGAGAGAGGTGGTACAGTTAGCTCTGGAGCATGGCTCTTGTATTTGAATTCTGCTTCCATTCCTCACACCTTGGGCAACTTACTCAGTTTTCTCATTTGTAAAGTGGGAATAATAAAAGGATAACAATAGTATATTTAATTCAAAGAGTGAGAATTATATAAGACAATACATGTGCTGTACATAGCATATAGTCTGGCACATAGTAAATGCTCAATAAATTTTACCTATTAAAAAAAGAAAAGTTCTAATGGAAACTCATCCCATGCTCTTGGCTAGGAAGAATTAATATTGTCAAAATGGCCATCCTGCCTAAAGCAATCTACAGATTCAATGCAATCCCTATCAAAATGCCAACAGCATTCTTCAACAAACTGGAACAAATAGTTCTAAAATTCATATGAAACCACCAAAGACCCCAAATAGCCAAAGCAATCCTGAGAAGGAAGAATAAAGTTGGGGGGATCTCTCTCCCCAACTTCAAGCTCTACTACAAAGCCACAGTAATCAAGACAATTTGGTACTGGCACAAGAACAGAGCCACAGACCAGTGGAACAGGATAAGAGTCCAGATATTAACCCAAACATATGTGGTCAATTAATATACGATAAAGGAACCATGGACATACAACGGGGAAATGACAGCCTCCTCAACAGCTGGTGTTGGGAAAACTGGACAGCTACATGTAAGAGAATGAAACTGGATCACTGTCTAACCCCATACACAAAAGTAAATTTGAAATGGATCAAAGACCTGAATGTAAGTCATGAAACCATAAAATTCTTAGAAATAAACCGCAAAAATCTCTGACATAAACATGAGCGACTTCTTCATGAAGATATCTCCTCAGGCAAGGGAAACAAAAGCAAAAATGAACAAGTGGGACTATATCAAGCTGAAAAGCTTCGGTACAGCAAAGGACACCACCAATAGAACAAAAAGGCATTGTACAGTATGGGAGAATATATTCATAAATGACAGATCTGATAAAGGGTTGACATCCAAAATATATAAGGAGCTCACGCACCTCAACAAACAAAAAGCAAACAATCCAATTAAAAAATGGTCAGAGAAGCTAACAGACAGTTCTCCAAAGAAGAAATTCAGATGGCCAACAGGCACATGAAAAGATGCTCCACATCACTAATTATCAGAGAAATGCAAATTAAAACCACAATGAGATATCACCTCACACCAGTAAGGATCGCCACCACCCAAAAGACAAACAACAGCAAAAGTTGGCGAGGTTGTGGAGAAAGGGGAACCCTCCTACACTGCTGGTTGGAATGTAAATTAGTTCAACCATTGTGGAAAGCAGTATGGAGGTTCCTCAAAAAGCTCAAAATAGAAATACCATTTGACCCAGGAATTCCACTCCTAGGAATTTACCCTAAGAATACAGCAGCCCAGTTTGAAAAAGACATATGCACCCCTATGTTTATTGCAGCACTATTTACAATAGCCAAGAAATGGAAGCAACCTAAGTGTCCATCAGCAGATGAATGGATGAAGAAGATGTGGTACATATACACAATGGAATATTATTCAGCCATAAGAAGAAAACAAATCCTACCATTTGCAACAACATGGATGGAGCTAGAGGGTATTATGCTCAGTGAAACTTTAGAAGCCAGGTGGAGAAAGACAAGTACCAAATGATTTTGCTCATATGTGGAGTATAAGAACAAAGAAAAAACTGAAGGACAAAACAGCAGCAGAAACACAGAAATGGACTAACAGTTACCAAAGGGAAAGGGACTGGGGAGGATGGGTGGGAAGGGAGGGATAAGGGGGGTAAGAAAGAAAGGGGGCATTACGATTAACATGTATAATGTGTGTGGGGGCACAGGGAGGACTGTACAACACAGAGAAGACAAGTAGTGACTCTATAGCATCTTACTACGCTGACGGACAGTGACTGTAATGGGGTTTGTGGGGGGGGACTTGGTGATGGGGGGAGTCTAGTAAACATAATGTTCCTCATGTAATTGTAGATTAATGATACCAAAACAAACAAACAAACTACAAAAGACAAGTTCTGGGGAAAAGTTCTGGGTCATTACTATTAATGTGTTTTAAGGGCAACAAACTATCCTAGAATATTAGATAATATGGAATCTTTAAAGGTGTGATAATGTTGTGGTCAGGTAGGAGAATGTATTGTTAGGAGATGCATGGTGAAGTACCTAAGAATAAAGCTTCAATTGTTGCTTGCTTCCTAATAAAGCCAAATATATCTCTGTGTTTCCATATCAATCTATCGAGCAAGTGTGGCAAAGTGGTAATCAATGTTGAAACTAGGTGAATAATATAGGTTATTGTAGTACTCTTTCAACTTTTCTGTATGCTTGAAAATTTCAAAATAAAAGGTTGAAGGAAAAAAAATCCCCTGGAAATTGTCTGATGTCCAACACTCATTTTATAGAAAGAAGCTTGAGTCTGAAACTTATGACCAAGGTCATACAGCTGGAGAAGCCCAGGCCAGAAGAACCCAGGTCTCCTGGCTGCCCGTCTCTCCCTTTGTGTGGGTGGCCGCTGCTGACCCTCAGGCAGCAGAGAGCTGCAGAGAAAGGAACACACTCAGCTTTCCCCAAGAGACAGAGGAGTATTAAGGGTGTGTAGAAAGGCACTTGTGTTGGTGTTTCCTTTCTGTTTGTTAAGTGAAGAGGTAGGTCATCTGGTTAGAAGGTGTGATGTACAAAATGTGAAGGCGGTGCCAGGGCCAGGCCTGCCATCCTGGGCAGACCAGTTTGGCACCATGTACTTGTGGTTTTTGAGTAGTGGTGGTGGTGGTGTGTGTAAACTCTGGGATTTCAGAGCAGAGAAGAAAGAGTAAGGGGTGGGGCCAGGGCCAAGAGGAGCAGCACGGAAAGACTGGCTTCAATTCTGATGCTGCCTGAAAGAAGGGACCCCAGGGTTTTGCTCAGGATGAGAAGTGGGCACATACGTAAATAAAGGAAATAATTCCCTGCAGTCTTCAGCATCTGCCGCCAGCTAATACGGTTCAAGGCAGTGAAAAGGAGAGATGGGGGAGAGGAGGCAACGTTGATGTACGCCTGAGGAGAGGGCCACAGAGACAAATAGGGAGAGAAGAGAGAAAAGAGGAAACCAGGGCCACGGTGGGGGAGGCATTGGGGGAGGAGTGCTGGAAAGGTAAAGAGGCCGCACCCGAGGGCACGAGAATTAGGCGAGGGCTGTCCGCCTCCGCAGGCTGGAGCGTCTCGCCCCAGAACAGTCCCGCCTCTCTCCTCCGTCTTTGGGAGTCCCTGGAGGCCGCGGTAGCAAGCGCGGAGCTCCTGGCGCTCTTACTAGGGGGAAGGGCGGGCAGGAGAGGCGGGGCCTCCGGGCCGGGAGGGAGCGAAGCCTCTGGCCGCGGGCGGGCGCCGGAGTCTGGGGGCCGCTGCTTCCCCTTCCCGGTCCGCGGAGGTTCCTGGCCCCTCCTCCGCCCCGAGTCCCCACCCTCGCCGCCGCTGTCAAAGATAAACCGGGCCTTTGCCTGCAGGAGCGGCGGCAGCCCGCGACCCGGCGGTGAAGAGCCTCGGGCGCGGCCTCGCCTGCCCGGCCCGGCGCTCGCATCAGCACCGCGGACAGCACAGCTCGTCGTTGCCAGTCTCTAGGCGCCAGCCGACCCACTAGCCCACCGGCGGCCGGGCCCGCGGCGTCCACATCAGCACCGCGGACAGCGCCCGGGGGCCCCTCGCCGCTGCCAGTCCACCGGCTCCCCGAGTCAGCACCGCGGACAGTCCCCCTACACCGGCCCGGAGGCAGGCTTGGAGCGGTCAGCGCTCCCGGAACATGGCCACTGAGGTAGGTGTTGAGCACCGGCCGGTAGGCAATGCCCCATTGCTGCGGGATCAGAACCCCGCTAGGGGCGGGCGGGGCGGGAAAGGGAGACGAGGGGTGGGGTAGCGTGGGATGGGGTGGTTTCCCCAGTAGGGTTCGGGGGGTTGTCAAGTGGCAGGCTGGAGAAGGAGAGCTCATATCACCCCTGACCTGTCAATCTTCCCCATCTGAGTCCTGAAGCTGCCTGTGCCACTTGTTGGCACTAGCGCCAGGGTGGCTCCAGGGCTCCAGCTGGGGTTTCCTCTTTCCCTGGACTGCAAGTCTGAAATTGCTTCTCCACAGCCTGTGCCTGTTTTAGGGGAGGAGGGTGGCTGGCTGCTGTTGCTATGCAATGCAGCCATCCGGCTTCTGAACCCAAAAGTCTGGCTGAGAGATGACAGACCTACTACCTCCACATCCACATTTCCCTCATGGGGGAGGGAGAGGACAAAGGATCCCTAGGCCCAAACCCGGACGGCTGGTTGTAATGATGTGCCCGCACCAATCCCCACCTTTGCATATCACCCCTTCTTGCCTTTTCACCCTGTTCGAGTCTCTTGTACAGACTGTCCCCCTTTATCCCTGTGTCTGATGGGAGGAGCCTATTCTACAGGGTGTGCCTGGAGGTGTGTCACCCGCAAGGGACTTGAAAGCTGATCTGAGGGACCTGTTGGCTGAGAGCAGAAGCTTGGTGCAGTGCTTAAGAGATTAGGAATTATCTCCTCTACCCCCTCATTTCATGAGGGAAATGGAGCTCTTTATGTTTCTGCTTTATAAGTAGTAAAGCCAACACATGGAGAAGAGGGGGACCTGTTTGATACACAGCATTTTAGCAGCAGAGCTAAAAGTTACTTCCTTTGAATTTTTGGAGTGGAACCCAGGACACCACGGTCTCCCAGTTCTGATCTTGACTTCTTTTGTGGTGTTTCCTCATTTCCACCTCAGCTGAAACACAAAGGAGGACTGCAAAGGTCTTTGAATGATTCTGTGCAGTGTCTCCCGGCATCCTGGTAAGCAGAGTTAACATCAGTACCAAGTGTTAGTGTTGTTACTCTGCTGTTGTCACCACCACGGAACAAGCCTCAGTTGCATGGCCTCACCCAGTTTTCTAACAGGGCACAGAGTTACTCAGGAGAGTTTGCCCCAGAACCTTGTAAAGAGGCAAGCCCTGAGAAGACCCTTGGAGCTTGGTTTCTAGGGTAGAAGAATGCAGAGGCTCCAAAAGCACCAGAGATACTGAGAAAAGCAGGAAGAACAAAGGGAGAAATGGCTGAGGATCTGGCCACCTTCCAGTTAGGGCTGCCAGGCTGCAGCAAAGGCTGCCGGTGTTGGGCAGGAAGGGAAGACTTAACCACATGGGCATGGCTGGGCAGCAGTGTGAGCAGAGAAGGCAGTCACATCTGAGATGTGGTCTGACAGGTCCCAGGAGGCCCATCTGTCCCATCTCAGGTTTGCTGTGGTCCGCAGATTCCAACCACAGGCTTACTTCTCTAGGTTGAGGTGGTGCCAGGAGGCTGACTCTCCCTTGGGAGAGGCTCTGCTCATAATGCCTCTGAATACAGCGCTGTCCTGTGTACAAAGCATTATCACATGTGTGATCTCCTTTGAGCTTTACAGCAACCCTGTGAAGTGGGCAAGGGTGGTGTTATTATCTCCAATTAACAGATGAAACAACTGAGGCTTACAAGCCCGCCTCATCCATGTGAAGGAGCCAAGGAAGGCATCATTACCCCATTTCATAGATGATGCAGCTGGAGTACTGAAACTTATTCAAGAAAATATGTCTAAAAAGTGTCTAGGCAAGGACTAGAATTCATTTTCTGCCTCCCTGGCCAGCGCTTTTCCTGCTGGATCCAAGTGTACCAGTTAGCCAAATTGTGTTGCCCAACAGAGAGGAGAGCACTAGGGTTGCTGACATGAGGTTATGATGGGGAGAGGGATGCAAAGTTCAGGAAGGGCTGGAGTGTGGGGACGCAGGCCCCCTGGCTGGCCTGGCTGGGTCAGCTTGAGGGCAGAAGGACAGAGGAATGCCCAGAAGTGATGGAGAACTGAGGACACACACTCACCATTCCCCAGTTTGGCCTTGGGTGGACCCCGATGGCTATACCGAGGGAGGAAGCCTCAGCTCTGCCAAGGCACAGGACATGCACATTATCTGGGCTGTGGAGTGAGTCATTCTCCCCAGGCTGCTTTTACTGTCAGTACTGAGTTAAGATTACCAGGAAAATTCTATTGGAAGAAGGAAAACCTCACGCCAAGCTTCTGTGGCCAAATCCCTAGGATTCTGAATGGGAAGTCCTCAGCTCCAGCAGAAGGTGTTTTGAAGGGAAGAGAGGGAATAGGAAGAGGGAGGAATAGAGGGAGGGGGACAGAAAGAGGGAGGGAAAGAGGGAGAGAGGGAGGGAAAAAGGGAGAGAGGGAGGGAAAGATATATGGAGAAAGGTTGGCTATCCCTGGATCTCTGGATGGAAGGCATGGAAACTGGATCTTTTCTACTCCCTAATTTCTGTTTAGGAGTTAGCACTGAGGGAGGGATGTGTGTAGGAACTCAGAGGAGGGATGAAGCCTCCTGAGCGACACACTGATCTCACTTGGGAAACTGTAATGAACCCATTTCCTAAGTGACAAACCTCTGCATATGTGTGTTGCTGGGAGTAGGGTCTGCCCTGGGAAGTAGTCCAGATGACCAAGGAAAGCTGAGAGGTGCCTGGTTGGGAGGGGCTTCTCCAAGTGGTGGAGTGTGGCCCCTAAGAGATTTTTAAATGCACCCAAGTAGCATTATCCAAGCGTTTGGAGATTTCATCTCTGAGGCATGGAATTAACAACCAGCAGACAATAGGCTGGGCTTGGGCCCTGGTGTAGGCTGAGAAATAGGGAGGCCCCGGGTTTCCATCCGGGAGTTGCTACATGTGACTCATGATCCTCACTCCTCCTCCACACCAGCCAGGGCGCATGGTGTTGGCTCATCAGCTGAATCTTCTGATTCTTGAGTTGAGTCTCAGATGAATCCTCTGGAAATAGCTGGTTTTTAATGAAGATGGAGATGTGGGCCAGACGGGATCTCTTCTTTGCCTCAGGGTGTCATCTGCACTCCAGTGCTTTCTCCTCCCCACCTTTGCCAGATTGGCTTTGTCAGGTGTACAGGCCCTGAATATGTGACCTGCCATACCCAATCTCCAGGCAGCCTCCCCATCTCTGTTGCACAGCAGTTCGAAAATTGGTGCCAGTAGGTTCACCACTGATACTCTCTTTGTTCCTCATGAAATGCCTCTTGGTCCTGTCCTTACTTAGCTACCAGAAGACTAGGGGATGGTGATGGGAGAGAGGGCACAGTGGGGAAGGTAAGAAGTATATGAGAAGGCCAAGTGCCTGAGTCAGGCCTTAAGGCAAGGAAGCCCCTCTTGGCTCTCTCCATCCACCCACAGCAAGAGCTGTTGTCTCACAGAGAGGGTTGTGCATGTTCTGGGATTCTCTTATGAGATGTCAGGCAATCTCTCCTGAAAAACCCCCACCAGCTTCCTGAAATCTAAGTATCTGGCAAGTGGCATGGAGCCTGGCTCTAGCTCTGGTCCAAGGGCCTCTGCCATAGGAATCCTTATTCAGAGGTTCAAAACTGGCAGCTCTAGGAATGAATCTGGTTCAGAGATGTGTCTTATTTGGTCTGCTCAGTGTTTATAAATTTAAAACTTTATTGGGGACATTTAAACATCAGGATATTTGATGTTAAGGAAATCTGGTTTTATGACTTCTCTTAAAATGTCAGAAGTGTGGCAATCTGGGCACACATTTTCATGTGGCAATGATCAACTGCTTTCTTGAGACAGGATAGAAATTCTCTAATTAGTCACAGTCCCCACCTGGTCCATTTACATACTTAGCCACTATAAACATTTGAGTTCATAATCTCTGATAAGGCCTCTAGAATGTCAAAGCTGGGAGGAGGTTTAAGTGATTATGCAGTTCTGATTTCTCAGTTTCTGGTTGAAGAAATGGAGGCCAGAGGAGGGAAGACTCTCCCAGGGTCATGTGGCCAGGACTAGCACCCAAGTCTGCTCCCAGGTCAGTGGGCCATCTTTCCACCAGGGCATTTTGGTATTTCACAGCTGAGCTGCATGGATGGAGAGAGCCAAGAGGTGCTTCCTTGCCTTAAGTCCTACTTTTCGCCAACTATAGATGAGTCTGTGATGTGTGTGCTCTATATAGATCTGGGAGATTAAGGCTTTGGAAATGTGTTTGATATCATCTTCCACCAAATCCTCAAGATCCTACAAATACTTTACAAGGAGGGAAGCAAATTCCTAGTCACCCAGAGTCAGGACAGTATTGTAAGGCTCAGGATGTTTGGGGGTTGGAAAGGGTGTTGATCCTTCCCACTCTGGCTACCTGAGAACCCATGGATCAAAGGCAAGAGGAAATAGGACTGTGTTATATAAAGTAGCACCCTAAAATATTAAAATTTTAATACACTAGAAGTGTATTTCCTTCTTAGTAAAGTCCCAGACAAGCATTTCTGATCAGCAGGTGGATCTCCTCCAGGCAGTAGTAATTCAGGGACCCTGCCTCTTTCCAACTTGTAGTTCTATCGTCTTTAACACATGGTTCCCTTGGTTTGTGGGAGGGCAAAGATCACAGAGGAGGGGCTGGTCTTTATGAGTTAAGCCTATGCATGACATTCATCTCTTCCACTCATATTCCTCTCAGTCATATTCAGCCACACCTAACTGCAGGGAAAGCTAAGGAGTAATCTGTGTGCCTAGGAGTATGTGGCTGTGGTCAACAGCTAGCCAGTCACTACAGGCACATGTCTTTACAGGAGCACACAGTTTATATGCGCGTTCAGGCACAGAGAGAAAGGATGCTGTCACAATGACTGAAGCACTGGTATTTCCTTGTCTTTCCATTCTCACCTCCACTTCTCTTGGTTTAGACCCACTTTAGTGTTCCCGTGGACTATTATGAAACATAGTCATCCCTCCAACTGCCCCAGTCATGCCCACTTCCTGTGCAGCCCTCACAGAGTTGCCAGAATGATCCTCCTGGGACCCAGGGGATTCCATCCTCAAGACTGACTGGGCTCATGTCAGTTGGTTTGGAAGGATGGAGGAAGGCCACAGCCCCTTCCTTTTCTTTGGAAAATCCAACAGTATGAAACCTTAACCAGACAGAGCAGACACATTAGTGAATAACATATTACTGAAGTATTCTTTATTTGTTAAAGTTATCATAGAGTCCTAGCAGATATCAAGGGGACTTCCTCAATTCAAACCTTGATTAGAGGAATCAGAAACTTTAGAGGTGAGGAGCACTTATGTATCACTTAATTCAGTCATAATACTTGGGATCACATCTGTTACATAGGGCAAGGTTCACCTGGAATTCATCTAGTATTCTCTGATTTCCACCTTTTCAGGACCTTGATCTACCAATTATTTGCTCCTACTACCATACTGACAACCTTTCTCTTATTACTTATTCTTTCCCCCAGCTTTTTCAGCAAGATAAGTATTTCCATCTTAAATCCTCTTTTCTAGTAGAACCTCCCCCCAACTCATTGTGATCTAGCTCACCTCTGTACTCACCCCCAACTACTCTGATCTAATCCACTCCACGAACCAACTCCAGTCTTGCTGAAATCTGTCTGCCGTCGTGGAGTTGACTGTGTTCTCTGCTGTCTTTGTTACTCTGCACCAGCTTCTCCCTCTGCCTGGGTTGCCTTTTCCTCCCTCTCCCCACCCACTGCCTGCCCCTGCCGCTGGAAACTCCTGGCCATCCTTGATGACTCAACACAGACCTCAGGAAGCCTTTTCTGAGTAAGAGTTTCTGCATAAGATATTACTTCTTTGTGGCATTTATCTCAGTCTAATTCATTATGTATTTACTTGTCTTCCACCCTGGAGCTCACAGACTGTCTTTTGCTCAACATCCCTAGAGCCTGGCAATAGAAGGGACTTAATAAATGAAGGCTGAGTGACTGAATGGATTCACCTTAATTACACAGGATGAACTGGCTGTGTGTTCACTCTGCCTTTGGGGCTTGGTCTCCACGTGGTTCCAGTGTTCGGCATATTTCACCCAGGGGGAAGCTTGTCTTGAATGTGGGCGACTGAGGCTGAAAGTGAAGAAAGAGGCCCTGTCCTTCTATGGAACTGAGCCCACTCCCCTCAAATGCTGCAGTCTGTGCCAATGTCAAGTCCCAGGTGTGGACAGGGACAGAAGTCACGGAACTCCTTCCTATCAGGGCATGGTGTTTCTTTAATTTCTGGCCTCATCCCACTTTATCCAGTTTTCTCTGGGGAAGTCTGGACGTCTTGTCCCCTTCCTTCCTGGATATGAAATGCTGGATATGAAAGCCATTTGTGGTGCTCTCTGACGCATAACTTGGCCTGCACCTGAATCCCCCTCTGAGTTCATGGGTATATCAGGTACTACTCTGTCCCACCTGCTCCCCTCCTCCATCCCTGCTGTAAGCTCCACCCAGCAAGGTCTGATTCAGTCTTGCTCAGGGCACAAGGTCCGACATGTGAACATTTGATACTTGTTGAATGAATGAAAATGTAAAAGGCCCCACTGTATGTGTGTGTGTGAGAGAGAAAGAATCAGAGAGAGGGAGAGAGAGAGAGAACGAGAGAGTGAGTAAGTACAAGCTGGTGGGAGCAGGAGAGGGAGAAGGCTCTGGACCAGCAACCAGGAAATCTTTTTCCCATAAAGTTTGTTTCTGGCTCTGTTGATGGTTCCAGAACCTCTCATTTTGGCTCAGCTTTGGCCCTGCTTCAGGCTTTTCCTAAATCTTTTTGGGATAGCTTGAGGCATCTTCTTGGGTAAACTCCACAGTCCTGCCTCCCCTTGGCCTTCCTAGAGCACTTACAGGGTGGCTAACTTGTCCTGATTTGCCTGGTTTTAGTGCTGAAAGAACCATATCCTGAGAAACCCCACAGTCTCAGACAAACCTGGACGGATACTCACCCTGGGTGTGTCTCCTGTGCACCTCTTCAGGTCCACAACCTGCAGGAGCTCCGGCGAAGTGCCTCACTGGCCACCAAGGTCTTCATCCAGAGAGACTATAGTGATGGAACCATCTGTCAGTTCCAGACCAAATTTCCACCAGAGCTGGACAGCCGGGTAAGGACATCTTTTTCTAAAGTTGGAACTTTTTTTTCTTGGACGTCTTTTTCTAAAACAGGCCATGGTGGAACTGAAGGGCTTATTCAAGTGTATTTTTTTTTTTTTTTGCAGGATAAAAGTAATATATGACACATGACTTGTTCAACTACTTCAAATGGAAGAATTAAAAAATGCCCTTAACATTGTCTTGCTGTTGCCCCATTAAAAGTTAGAGTTGAAAAAACCTTAGAGGTTTTCCCAGCCCAGCAGCCCTCAAAGTTCATTAGCATGAGGATCACTGGGAGAGCCTGTTAAACACCATTTCCCAGGTTCTGTTGGATGACATTAGGTATCATCAGAGATGCTGACTCAGCTGTTGGACTGGGTTCAGGAATCTCCATTTTCGCAGCAGTTCTCAGTCCCAGCTGCACATTAGAATTCCCTGGGGAGCTTTAAAAAAACCTGATGCCCAGGCTGACAACCAAGGTTCCTGCCCACAGCCTCTCTCTGCAGACTGGGTGTTTCATGCACCACCAGCCCCTTGCAAGGCATCAGCTCCTGCTGCTGAGTTTTGCTCCTGGTTCTGGGAGAGTATGTAACCCTCATCCCAGGCTGCCCATTGGGGGAGGGCAGAGGGCAGGCACTGATCCTTTCATTCAGCAGCCCAGGCAGATCTGAATGGGTTTGGAAAGGTGGGGCAGGACTGCCTGTTTTTGATCTGACCCCTAACCAGCTTTCAGGGAGTCACATGTGTCTCCTCATCTTAGCATGCCTACCCTCTGGGGTGGGGTGACCCTGGGTAGAGCAGCACAGCTTGGATTCATAGCCTAGATGGGCAGAACTTTCTCTGTGTGTTCATTCCAGAACTGTTTAGGGACAGTGGCTGGGAACTTCAAAGCTTCTATTTTTGGGGAGACTTTTACTGAAGGGCTTATTCAAGTGTATTTTTTTTTTTTTTTGCAGGATAAAAGTAATATATGACACATGACTTGTTCAACTACTTCAAATGGAAGAATTAAAAAATGCCCTTAACATTGTCTTGCTGTTGCCCCATTAAAAGTTAGAGTTGAAAAAACCTTAGAGGTTTTCCCAGCCCAGCAGCCCTCAAAGTTCATTAGCATGAGGATCACTGGGAGAGCCTGTTAAACACCATTTCCCAGGTTCTGTTGGATGACATTAGGTATCATCAGAGATGCTGACTCAGCTGTTGGACTGGGTTCAGGAATCTCCATTTTCGCAGCAGTTCTCAGTCCCAGCTGCACATTAGAATTCCCTGGGGAGCTTTAAAAAAACCTGATGCCCAGGCTGACAACCAAGGTTCCTGCCCACAGCCTCTCTCTGCAGACTGGGTGTTTCATGCACCACCAGCCCCTTGCAAGGCATCAGCTCCTGCTGCTGAGTTTTGCTCCTGGTTCTGGGAGAGTATGTAACCCTCATCCCAGGCTGCCCATTGGGGGAGGGCAGAGGGCAGGCACTGATCCTTTCATTCAGCAGCCCAGGCAGATCTGAATGGGTTTGGAAAGGTGGGGCAGGACTGCCTGTTTTTGATCTGACCCCTAACCAGCTTTCAGGGAGTCACATGTGTCTCCTCATCTTAGCATGCCTACCCTCTGGGGTGGGGTGACCCTGGGTAGAGCAGCACAGCTTGGATTCATAGCCTAGATGGGCAGAACTTTCTCTGTGTGTTCATTCCAGAACTGTTTAGGGACAGTGGCTGGGAACTTCAAAGCTTCTATTTTTGGGGAGACTTTTGTCCTAAATAGGTATGAGAAGTCCCTAACCTGTGTGTGGACAGTTCTGGTACTGTGGGGGGAGTGGGGGAGGGGGTGCTCTGAGGAATGTAAAAGGTGGGTCTACAGACACTGATGCCTGCTGAGTTTGCAGCATGACTTCCATTCTGGTGCAGGGTTACATGGTGAAGAGCACAGACTTAAGTCAGAGCCATATAACCTGGGACACATTTATTCAGAATTCGGCAAGTATTCACTGAGCAAAACTGTTTTAGGCCCTGGGGATATAGGAGCAAACTCATGGAGGTCATTTTCTCTAAGAGGCTATGAAAAGTAAAACAGCAAGCAAGTGAATATGTAGTAGCCCAGGTGGTGACAAATATTAGGAAAATAAGGGGGCAGGTCAAGGGGATGAGAGCTGGGGGTGGTGAGTCATGACTGGAGGGGATCTGCGGGTTAAGGCCACACCTGAAAGAAGCAGGAATGAGCTGGGGGAGGGGTACGTCTTGGGAGGGAACTGCAGCTGAGGGCACTGGCATAAAGGCCCTTTGGCAGTTTGGGGAGCAGCAGGGTGGTCAGTGTGCCTGGAGTGGGGACTGAATAAGAGAGTAGGAGACAGGCTCTGAGGGGGTGCAGGGCCAGGCCTTTGGAGGGTCTTGTAAGGCCTTGTAAGGACTTAGGGGATTTTACTTAGAGAGAGGAGAAAAGCCTTTGAGAGCTCTTGGTCAGAGCTGCGACATCATCTGACTTTAATGGGCTTGCTCTGCAGGGCTGTGGGCGGGAAGACCAGCAGACAGGCCAGAGATGATGGTGGGCTGGCCCACGGAGCAGAACTTTGATCAGGCCTTACTTGTGACACAGCGATGATGGTGGTACTTTTCCTGATAGAATTGTTCTAAGGGTTAAATGAAATAATACATTACAAAAAATGCATGAAGTACTTAAAAATAGAAAGCGTAGAAAGTGCCTAATAAATATCAGCTATTATGATTATGGGTGCAGGCAGGACAGCCTTCCAGTAGTCCACAGCCCAAGGCTGTTGTGTCCTGCGTGACCCCAGCAAGGAGGAAGGGCTCCCTCCTGGAGGGACACTCCTGAGCTCTGGCCCAGGCAGTCTCATGCAGTGGGAGTACCACCCACACATGGAGAGCCCCTACCAGTTCAGTTCCGAACTCTCTAGCCCATCAAAATGGGGGAGTCACCAAGTCACTAGAACTCTTGCCTGATCTTTTGCAGAAATATTCACATCTGGGATATCATAGGAGTTCTCCATTTTCAAGGGAAGCCAAGTAGCTATTCTATTTCCATATTATAGATGTGGAAAGTGAAGCTAGAGTAGTTAAGTCGCTAGTCCAAGGCCGCACAGCTAAGAGTCAAGTCCGCACTGGGTCTCAGGTTCCCTGACCCTCAGTTGAGTGCTTCACAGGCAGCTGCAGCCTCTCTGGTCTGGTCTGTGTGCCCCACTCCCCCTTTCCCAGCTGGCATGGCCCCTCTAATGCCACCCTCCCTCCCATCTGGGACTGTCCACGCTCCAGGGAGGCTGACTAAGCCTGCTTCCTGTCCTTTTCTCCCTGCAGATTGAGAGGCAGCTCTTTGAGGAGACTGTGAAGACCCTCAACAGCTTCTACTCAGAGGCTGAGAAGATCGGGGGTGGCTCCTACCTGGAGGGCTGCCTGGCCTGTGCCACGGCCTACTTCATCTTCCTCTGCATGGAGACCCATTACGAGAAGGTGGCTCCCTCCCTGGCTGCCCCACGGCCCCTCCTGCAGGGCTCCCTTGTTGAGCTCTCACCCTCAACCGGCCTTTCTCCTTGCAGGTTCTCAAGAAGATCTCCCGCTACATCCAGGAGCAGAATGAGAAGATCTTTGCCCCTCGAGGCCTCCTGCTCACGGACCCTGTGGAGCGTGGGATGAGGGTTGTATCCTTCCTGGCTGTTCTGTGTGAGGGCCCAGAGCTGCCAACTCATGGTCTCTCTGGTAAGGCTACCAAAAATGGGGGCCACCCTAGGGGCCTCTTCTCAGGGATTTCCTAGGATTTCCCACATTACTGGTCATTGGTCTCCTTCCCTCATGTACGTGATTGGTGCTGTTTGTGAATCTCAGGGTTTCCTTTCATTGAGCTGCATTTAATCAGTGCTTAATACATGCCAGATATCACATTAAGTGCTTTGAAACTATGATGTAACTATCATGTAATTCTCATAACACCCCTATAAGGTGGGTAACTCTCCTTATTCTCTACATGGATGAACACACCGGCTCAGGGTCACCCAGCTAGTGGATGTCAGAGCCAGGGTTTCAGCCCTTAACTATGAGGCTCATTCCTCAGGGAATATGCAAACCTCCATGTATGTTTACCTGTCCAAAACCTCATGTAATCTCATTTAATCTTGTGTGTGTGGGTCCCACTGTCTGCTTTTCACAGAGCAGAAAAATGAAGTCTTGGTGGGAAGCTGGTCCATGGGTGGGTTTTGTGCCTGTTTACTCCACCTAGAAAAGTGTGGTCAAGGCGAGCATGTGTCCCACCCCCAGTCAGCAGCAAGAGAGAATTGTTAAAAAATAAATTCTACTGGAAAGTTGAGAAGAAAAAGTGAAAAAAACACACATACCAGAATCATATGTTTACAAAGTCCAGTGAGAGGTGCCTCTTTTTTATTGAGCCCTTTACAAGGTGCCGGGTATTATTACACATGTTATTTCATTTAATCCCCACAAGAACCCCAAAATTCTATTATTATCACCGTTTTACAGATGTGATGATTGATGGGTAACAAGTTAAGTGACTGGTCTATGGTCATCGCTGGAGAGTGGGCGAGCTGGGAGTCGACCTCAGGACACCGGAGTCCTCACACTTCCTGCTCAGTAGCACCACCTGCCTGGGCACACTGGCCTGGCATTTGGTAATTAGACCCGCGGGGAGGGAAGCCCAGGATGAACTGCCGTGCGCCCAGCCCTGCCAGTCTCCCACCTGCGGGCGGAGTGAGCGCAGGCGCCCTGGGCTTTGGGCGGGACCGCCCCCTGGCTTGGGCGGGGTTAGAGTCTAGCAGGCGGCCCGGCTGTGCGTCCCGCTCCCCAGCTGGCCTCCATCCCCCAGCTCTGTGGCCCCTGCTATGCAGCTCGCAGCGCTCCTTAACGCGGCCGCAGATCGAGATTTCCATCTACGAGGACCGGTGCAGCAGCGGCAGCTCCAGCAGCGGCAGCTCCAGCGGCAGCAGCGGCGGGGGCGGCGGGGGGGCCCGGTGACTGGCCGGGAGTCCTTGCAGGGAGGTGTACGGCCGGACTGTGGGCCTCGCAGACCTGCGGCGGCTGCGCTACCAAAGCACCCGCTTCTGAGCCATTCTCTGGGCCCAGCTTGGCGGGAGGGGGGTGACTGGCCCCGTGAGTCCGCAACCGCGCCCCACCCACTCTGGCAGGAAGTCCATGTCCTGACCTGATCTGGCTGTTTCCCGATGGGGCTGGTCCGGGCCACGCGGATCTAGATGCTCCGAGGAAGGCTGTGGGTGGGGACAACACAACACAATTTGGACGGCCCTTTTCTTATGCAGTGCCTCTCCCAGCACCCCTGGTCTGTCACACAGAATTCCATCCTGCATGATTCCTCACCCCAAATCCCATGTCCGCCAGGACCGTCTTCCCTCGGGGCCTGCTCCCATGGCCATCGCCCAGTGCTCGCTCTCTCTGACGCCCGCCACAGGGTCTCTGCCTGCCTGTGATCCTGCCTCCATGGAATTTGAGGTCTGGGAGATGGGAGGGGTCAGTCTCTGGGCGCTGCAGTGGGAGATGTTTGGCCCCCTCCTGACCTCTTCTAGACGTGTAGCTTCCTGTTCTTCACTCAAAGCCTGGAGGCCATCTTGGCTGTGTGGAGAAGCATACAGCTTCTGAGATTTTGTGGGACATCGGGCACTGGTTGCAGGCACACAGCTAGGGCTGAGAGGTTACATGGAGGTCTGGAGAAATACTTCATGGAGAGATGTAGTCTCAGGGCGTTTGACCCCCAGAATCAGAGCCGACTTCCTGAGGTCAGAAGCTGCATGTATGTGAGAGTGAGTATGTGCACGGGCAGGCACATGTGTGTGAGAGACTCCACATGTGCGTGTGGGTGTGCACAAGTGTCTTCCCCTTGGTTGCCTGGCCAGTGTTCCTCTCTGGAGCCTGTCTTATCTTCACAGGTGATGGTCTGAGCTGCTTCCCTGTGCGGGTTCAGTCTGTCTCCCTGTAAATAATTGTCCTAAAGCCCCTTGACCCTTGCCTCGGGCTGCCAGCTTGGCTTTTCCATGTGGCCTGTTCCCACCTGCAAGGTTCTCCCCACCTTGTGACTCTACTGTGTACATTCTAGCAGTGGAGGAGTTCAGGTTCTAGAAGAGCAGAGCCCACTTTCTGGAGCCTTCTGTGCCGCTCTCCTAGCACCCATAACAAGATAGCAGGGCCACACACACTGCATATTCAGCCTGCCCAGTCTCCAGGGCTCTCTAAAGCTGTGTACTCCAGGCTTGCTTGGATGATCAAAGGAGCCAGCCACCTGCAGGCGAAAGGCAGGCTCATTTCTTGAAAGAGGGGTATCCAGCCAATGAGGCCCTGGCTGCCAAGGCCCAGGGGGCCGGTGGGAAGGAAGCAGTCCCGACCTGGTGCCCTGAAGATGGACAGAGGCTGCCTCCCTCAGCTGGCAGGAGGTGCTAGGAGCAGATAGGAAAGACCTGCCGCTGCAGATAGCTTTCCGGAACCAAAGAGGGGTCTGATTTTCTTTTGGATGCATGAGCAGCATGTGGAAAGGAGGTGTCTACCCAGAGAACTGGGGGGTGGCCCAGCCCTTGAGCCTAAGTGGGTCCTGGTCCAAGGATCCCCTTGGAGCACAGCAGCCCAGTGGGCTCCACAGTGGCCCTCTGAACTGTGGACCAGGTCTGTGCCCTCCCTGGCCCACTGTGTGGTTCGGCCTTGGGTCCGACCTGTGCGTGTTTCGTGGGATGGCTGGGCACAGGTGATGTGGTGACCTTTTATTTTATTTCTTTTTCCAATAAAAGGACTTCTCCAGTTTGAGGCTCTGGTGCTCCTCTCTCATGGTGATGGGGGGCCAGTTCTATGGCCCAGGACACAGTGAGAGGATGCTCTGTTGCCCACCCATTTTATGCCAAGGAGGCAAGGCTGAGTGTATTCCTGAGGAGGCAGCACACTGACGTGGGCAGCACACACCCTGCTACTTGGGCTGGTAGTCTAGTGGGGAGGCAGGCACTCTGGATCCTCTAATCTGGGCCTTAATGGGGGCACTTGCAGCTTTGTGTGGGGAGAATAGCTTGGGCTGAAACCAGGTCAAAAGTAAATAATGAATTGATCAGAGAAGTAGCCATTTCTTGAGCTCTTACCCTGGGTTGGGCCCTGTTAGGGGTTGGATCACACTGGTCACTCAGTTTTAAAGACTAGGAAAGTATATGGGTGTTGAAACCTGACAGGGTTGTGTCTGGGTCATTTAAATGAGGCAGAATGGCGGTCCAGAGAGGTTGAGTGATTTGCCCCAGGTCACACAGCTGGTTGATTATAGTGCTAAGTTTAGAACCAAGTTCTTCTGACCCAGTGCTCACTCTGACATGGGGATAGCACCCAGACGGAAGTTGTCTGAGGCTGCAGGGCAGCCAGAGTCACATGCTCAGGTTTGAGGGCCAGGGGAGGATCTTACCAGACTGTGGGGACAATGGCTCCCGCCTCTGGGTGGGGGTTCGGGGGATTCCTTCTGTGTGGTGTTGAATGGAACTCTGGGTGGCTTTCATGCTTGGACTTACTGCTCTTAAGGGGCAGCTGGGCCTTTGCCTGAGCCATGGGATGGGCGGGGCTTGCTGCCTTTGTTCAAAGCTGGGATGTGTGTAGGTTGGCATAATGGAGACTGTTTTTAATATGTGGGTAGGTTCATGCTGTCTGTCCTGTTTGCAGTGTTGTTAATAAATAAACAGTAGTAGCTAACATTTATTTAGCACTTACTGTATGCCAGACACTAGGCTAAGACTACAGAATTCATCATTCAATCCTCACAACACTCTGTGGTGTAGACTGTTATTCCCATTTTAAAGATAAGGAGACTGAGGTTGAAGAAAGTTAAGTGACTTGTCCAAAGTTATACAACTAGGAGGTGGCAGAGTTTGGCTGTGAATCTAGGCAGCCTGACTTCAAACTGTGGGGAAGATGATAGATCCAGACCCTTCAGCAACTTGAGGTCCTCTACCATCCTAGGGTTAGGATTTGGCAGATTCCCAGGGAAGGGCTTGGAGCTGTGACTGGGCTCCCAGGGAGGGCTGGTACCTCCAAGCCCAGGGCATCGTGGGAGTGTGGGTGGGCTGTACTCCTCATGGATGGGTGGGGCCCAAGAGGCAGCTGGGGAGAAGCCAAGTGATGGGTGGCTCTCTTGGCCTGGCTTTGCTCTGCTGATTATGGCCTCTTTCCTGGGTCTGGTCACAGCCATGTCTCCAAATCCCCTTTGTCAGCTGGGGACAGGCCCCGGGGAGCTCTGGGCTGTGGCTCCTGCATCAATTCCCCTGTTCTCTGTTTTCTGGCTTTCTTTGGCCAAAGGTAGGGCTGTGTGTGAAAACCACAGGGTTTACATAAGATCGTGGTGCCACTGAGTGGCAGAATTGTGCACTGCACCCCAGAATCAAAGTGCTCCCAGCCAGAGCATCTCAGCTGCTGGGAGCCTCCCCACAATCCCCCAAGCCAGCTGCTCCCACCTGCAGGAACGTTTCCTGTGGCTTCCAGAGGTGCAGGGCAAAGGAGTCTAGTCGGTGGTGATTTTAGGTCCTTACGGGCAGACCCTGGGGTCCTACCTTTCTCCTAGGGGTCTTGGCAGCCTGGGAAACCCCACCTCCTTTTTCCACAACTCTGGCAGGGAGGAGTGTCCCCAGCAGGAGGCACCTACACCTGGTTTGGGCTTTACTATCACCAAGGATGAAGTTGATGCAAATACTACTCCAATTGAGACCTGAACTGTTGTTCAGGCTTCATGACAGTAGTAGCCTATGGTGGAGACTCCAGGAGCCTCAGTTTGCCCAGTCATTAAAATGGGGATCCTGATACATTACAGAATTGCTTAGACTGGTGCTCTCATCCTTGGCTGTGAGTGAAGTCACGTGGGGTGCAAGAAAAACCACAGATGTCTGGTCCTGTTTCCAGAGATTCTGATTGCATGGTTCTGGGGTGCAACCTGGCAGCAGGATTTTTTAAGTTCCCCTGGAGATTCTAGTGTGAAGGGAAGTTTGAGAACCCCCTGGTTTTGACAGTACCTAGAGCCTATGAGCTTTTCACAGGCTTCTAAAAATGTCTAAGACCTGAATAAAGAAGTTTATTGATTTGTGAAAGCAGCTGCCCTGGGGTGGGGGCAGTGAATGGAAGAGGACCTGCGGGAGCTTCTGGGTGCTCACGATGTTGTGTTTCTTGTGCAGAGCTCCAGTTGCACAGGTGTGCTCACTTTGTGAGAATCCATTGGGCTACTTATACTTCATATTTGTGTGCTTTTCTAAATGTATGATACATTTCAATAAAATTTACCCAAAAGTTCATTGGCTCCAAAATAGGAAAAGTAAGTTCAAAATTGAAATTAATGTTTTATTACATATTTACATATAACAATGTCAGTCTACGCAATTCAACTCAACTCATGTGTGTGTGTGTGAATTTAATGTGGGTTGTTGATGTATATGAAAATGTTGATATGATGAGGGGTTGGGTCTCCAAAAGAGAAGGTCCTTGGTGCCTAAGAAAATCTCAAAACAACTCACGTTTTGATTTATCCAAGGACACACACACACACACACACACACACACACACACACACACACACACACACACACACACACACATCCCCCCTCATCGAAAAATATAGGTTGAGAATGACTGCTTTTGAGG